TGAGGATATGGATGGTGCTTTATACTCTTTAATAATCTCCAGGGATTCCTATCATCTCATTGATTCCCCAAGAAGTATTTGCTCTGAATTGTCAATTTATGGCAATAGTTATTAGTTGTAAGCGTCCAAAGCAATGTTTTTATGAAAGTGATTTTGTAGTGATTTTTCTTTTTAGGGGGTGCCAGGAGTCAAATTCAGAACCTTACTCTTGCCACAGAGATGCTGCACCATTGAGCTAAATTCCGACCTTTTTAGTGTTTTTTTTTTAAGGAGAATAAAAATGTTGTTAAATAAAACCAAGCAAGAATCTTATTTCTCTTCTTCCCCTTCTTATACCTTCTCCCTTCCTCTCCCTTTCCCTTTTTCTATCTCTCTGTCTTTGTCTCTCTCAGTGTTATTGAGATAAGGACTCACTATATAGTCTAGGCTGAACTCAAACTTGAGATACCCCTGCCTCAGCTTTTTGAGTGCTGGGGTTATAGCCATATGCCACTATGCCCAGCTAAGACAGAAGTTGTTTTTTTTTTTTTTTTCCGTCTTTTTCCTTTTTATCGGTACCGGGGATTGAACTCACAACTGCCTGCTTGCAAGGCAGGTGCTTATGCTGCTGAGCTAAATCCCCAGCCCCTTAGACAGAAGTTTTAAGCATCAAGAAAAGCCAGGGGCAACAGTGGATGTGGTCTTTTTTTTTTTTTTTTTTTGTCTTTTTTCTTTTTATCAGTACCGAGTATCGAACTCACGACCGCCTGCTTGCAAGGCAGGCGCTTATGCCCTGAGCTAAATCCCCAGCCCCAGTGGATGTGGTCTTAATGTAGGAAACAGGGAGCTGGGCATGGTGTAGGCCTATAATCCCGGCACTGAAAAGGTTGCTACAAGTTCACAGCCAGCCTGGGCTACACAGTGAAAGCTCCCTGTCTCAAAAATCAAAATGAACAAAAATATTTTTATATGTGAAAGAAAGAAGCATTTCGGCTTTTATCCTTTGTTAAGGTTATCGCCACTTGTAGATGGATTATAAGGGTTTGCAAGTTGTTTCCAGTCCAACATAAATTTGCTTCGTGTGAGTTAGTCTTATAAAAGCCTCTGACCCTTGGGTTTTGAGGCTGTAAAGGGCTTGAATTACTCAGAATGAAACCTTTTTAGATATGTTGGGTTGCAGAAAGCATTTCCTGTAGAGTCAGAATGAAAACTGTGAATTGGGATTATTCATGCAGATTACCAAAAGTCTGGGCAGAGTTGATATTGAGCTTTCTTGCCAACAGTTTTCTTGCCAACTTTTAGCTCCATAATCTTGGTTAGGTTATTGATGTATTAAGGCATTTGAGTTTAGTGTTAGAATTGTATATAAATTCCTTCTTTTAGATAAATTAATACTAAATTCACTTAAGGTTAGTTGCACATGCTGAATATTTTCTGTTTCATAAAGTAAGTAATGTCTACTTTCAGCTCATCATTTCATGCAGTGACTGGACTTCTTGGGTGATGCCACGTTGTTGCAGGAATTCTGCAAGTGGTGACAAAGTGAAGGGCAGATGAGCTCAAATTGTAAAATTGACTGTCATTTGTACAAGTGCACATTTAAAAAGCTGGAGAATATATAAAAAACAATAGTTCTTTTTATGATTTCATGAGAGTCTCTACTTGTTGGAGCAATAAAAAAAATACCAGGGATTTAAAAGAAAAAAAAAAGATAGTTCCATGTTCCAACAAATATGGCCTTCTCGGTGATGGGAAACTTCAAAATATGTGGTAGTCAGAAGACACCAGTTGATTTTTTTTCTTGGGTGTGGGAGGATATCTGAAATTGAACTCAGGACTTTGCGCTTGCCCGGCAAGTGCTGTACCACTGAGCTATATCCACAACCCACCTGTTTTGTTTTGTTTTGGTACTGAGGATTGAACTCACAACTTTGCACTTGCCAGGCCGGCACTTATGCCACTGAGCTAAATCCCCAGCCCAAAATTCCATCTTTTTTTTGGTACTGGGGATTGAACTTGCAACCTCACGCTTGCCAGGCAGGTGCTCATTCTGCTGAGCTAAATCCCTGGCTTTGTTTTGTTTTTTTTAATAGGATCTTACTGTATACTGCAGGCTGGCCTCAGACAAGCAGCGATCTTCTTACCTTAGCCTCCCTAGGGCTGGGATTACAGACTTGTGCCAGCACAGCCTAGCTTTAAAAATACTAACAACATGAAATTGCCCGCCAAAACCATGGTATCTCAGTTCACAAACACTTTTGCTTGCAAGCAATTTGGTTCACAAACAGAAGCATTTGGCAGAGTTTTGCTTTTATCTGTAAACTGTATTGGGTAATAGAGACAACCAAATGTGGCCACCTTTTTCAAAGATATAACAAATTGAGTTTATGAACCGAGGTCCCCCATTATTTGAATATTCCTGAAAAAATGACTGATCAACATTGTGCTGGCAGGCTTGGCAGCCTTGTCATTTTGCCACTCTTTTCGATCTGGCTTTACATGCTCCTTCGCAAAACTCACGATGGCGCTGTTTACCTCTAGAGGGAAGGAAGTTGTGGCTTCCTCTGGTTAACCCCATTTGGTGTGGGTCACCCAGCGGCCCCTCTTCCCAGAAGGAAAGATGCAGCTTGACTTTTACACCACTCTGAGAACGACAAGTTGGCAGAGAAGAACTGAAATTTTGTCGTAGAAACTTGTAGTGAATGAAGATGTGGCTTAAAACGAAGTTGGTTCTTGTTTAATTTTGTCCAGCAGTGTCATACAGATCTGGTCATTTTGTGGTACTTTACTATTAGAAAAGCATGAACCCTGAGATTGTGATGATCAGCTTCTTTATCCACAGTATGTCAGTGAGGTGAGCTTATGATTTCTTTTTCTGCATATGGATAAACCAGTTCAGAGTTAGAAACTGAGGAATCTAGAAATATACCTCTGCACAGTAATTTGAGACATGGCCAAGGATCTGAATAGCTCTGAAGTAGTGTGCTGTGTCGTGTTTTGAAGGACAGAGGAGCTGCTTTTGAGTGCCTGTCTGTCAAAGCAGTATGGTTAGAATTCACCTGTGTCCTTTGCTTAGCTGTTCTGAGCATTTTGCTTTTGTTGACATGGAGTGGACATGAGGGCCACTGCCTCTTTTTCGGATTACAAAGTGAGCAAGTACTGTTTGTGTCTCTTGGGTGACAGTTCTTAGGTAATATTGGATCAAAACTTTTTTTGGTCTTGAATGGATGAAAATTTTACCTTCTGTTGTTATTAACAACAGTGTATTTGGGGCTGGAGATTTACTCAGCGGCATAAGCGCCTGCCTTGCAAGCAGGCAGTTGTGAGTTCGATCCCTGGTACCGATAAAAAAGAAAAAGACAAAAAAAAAAAAAAAAAAAAGAACAGTGTATTTATCTTTGTACTCATTAATCCTAGGTGACCTTTTTGTGTTAACATTTCTCAACATCAGGCAGAAATAATATTAAAGCAGTTTCATTGTCCTCTTCTATTACACATTTAAATAACCACTGCTCTCTTTGGTGCAGCAGTGACCACGGAGAATTGGCCCTTGCCCTTGCCTGATAGTGAGCTCACTGTGTATGTGTATACTGTGTGTGTGTTCAGATGGGTACATAGATATATGTAGGTAGATAGGTAGAGATCTGTATCTGCCTATCTGTTTAATATTTGCCATACTGGAGATTGAACCCAAAGCCTCCTACTGCACAAACAAGTGCCGTACCACAGAGCTATATCCTCAGGCCCTTTGTTGTTGCTACCATCCTGAGAATTGAACTCAGGGCTTTCTCACTGAAGCATATCCTAAGCCCTTTTTAATTTTTGAGATAAGGTTATTAGTTTGCAAAATTTCCCAGACGGGGCTTGAACTTGTAACTCTCCTGCCTAAGCTTCACAGAGTGCTAAGATTACAGTTGTAGGGGGCTGGGGATTTAGCTCAGCAGCATAAGCGCCTGCCTTGGAAACAGGCAGTCGTGAGTTCCATCCCTGGTACCAATAAAAATGAAAAAGACCAAAAAAAAAAAAAAAAAAGATTACAGTTGCACATCACCACGTCCAGCCTTCTGTGTACATTTCTTTACTCATTGCCTTTCAGTAACCACCTTAGCTTAAGAAGTTTTCCTCAATTTGTGTGTATTTAGCTATACTTGACTATATTTTTCCCTTTACTGATTCAGTAGCGTTCTTTTTATATTGTACTTTTTAAAGTTAGTTACAGATGTCACTACATTTTGTACTTATACTGAAAAAGTACCTGCAAAGAGGAAATCACAAATATAGCATTCTACAAAATAAGAAATGTAGAGAGATTAGAAAATCTACTCCATTTTTCAAAAAATATCTTTTGTGGACCAGGTAGATGATTAAGTGAAAGGGCTTTAGATTATCCAAGCTCTTCTTCCTCACATGGAACTTTTTTCCTCTCATGGAGCTTACATTTCTTTTTAATAAGCTCAGCTTAAATCAGCATTACACATAATAAAATAATTTTAATTAAAAATTTAAGAACTAATATTGACCAGTTCAGTAAGAAAAAGTAAATTAATATAAGTCCTGCAATTATAGTACCATACTTGGTTTTTGTTTGTTTGTTTTTTGGTTTTTTTTGAGGCAGAAACAGTCTATTGGGCTCAGAGCAGGAGGCTATGGGTCTTGAGGACCTCTGTGAATTTGCAGAATATCTTCATGTTCTTTTCAGCCTGTTTCCGTAGCCTGATCCTCTTCTTCTTTGGGTAGTGGATCTTGGCCTTCTCCTTCCTCTTCCCCTGCAGGGTGACTGTCACCACTTGGTACTTCCAGCAGACCTCATGAGCTTCAGCTTCAGCTTCGGCTTCAGGCGCACCATCCTCTTTTTCTTGTCATAGGGCTGCAGGATCCAGTCGAACACTTTGAGGAGGTCCAGAGCGACCCGGCCTCGCTTGATCTTGTGGGGCAGCATCCCTCGAGGCAGAGGGACGCAGGCTCCACAGAGGGGCTCACAGGACGCCCGCTCTCCTCCAGGGCCAGCTCAGCGGCCTCTGATAGCCTCTGATGGTAGTGCGTGTGGAGTCTTCTCATGGTCGGGAAACTTGAACATGAGTGGGAGGCATCCTCATCATCAGCCACATGATACCATAGTTTGTAAGATACTTTGAAAGTTGGTAATGCGAGGGTCTTGGGGATTTAGCTCAGCAGCATAAGCGCCTGCCTTGCAAGCAGGCCATCGTGAGTTCGATCCTTGGTACCGATAAAAACGAAAAAGACAAAAAAAAAAAAAGTTGGTAAGGCGAAGGTTGAAGCTTTCAGAGCTAAAATAACAGAATTGTTCTTGGGAGCAGTTCAATTGTTAGTTTCATTTACTGATGTGCTGATTCTTGAGAGTCTATTGTATAGATTCAAGTGTAAAAATGAAGAGACTTTCAAATACAAAACACTAATATTTTTTGCCTTCTTGTTAAAAGAAGACTTAAATACTACCATGTCTTTTGTCGTATTCTACAGTCAAAGAACGGGCCCCTCTCCTGGGTAAGGCTAACTTCTCCATTTGAGCTCTGGATTCCATCTCTCACACGTACTCAGGATTGTACCTGCAGTTAGTTTCTCTCTTGCACCTGGGTTAGTTCCATCATATTAAATGATCTGTGTGAATATAATCCTTGTTTTAAAAAACTTTTCTGTCAGGTACGGTGACACATGTTTATAATCCCAGCAGTTGTTAACCTGAGCCAGGAGGATTGCCATGAGTTCAAGGCCAACCTAGAATAAATAGCAAGACACTGTCTCAGAAAATTAAATAAACAAATAAAATCTTAAAAGTCTTTGAACTCCATGTGTTTCTCTAGCTACTACGTGGTTCCTTGCTGCCTTTTACAACAAAACTTGCAAGTGCCATGTGTAATGCTGTCTTTCTTACGTCATTCTCGTCTCGGCTACTCGACCTGGGCTTTTATCTCCAGGACTTCAGTGAAACAGCTCTTCTAGACTGAATGATTTTTGTTTTTTTGAAACAGGGTCTTACTGCATTATTCAGGCTGGTCTTGAATTTGCTCTGTAGTACAACCTGTCCTCAAACTCATGGGACTTTTTCTTCAGCCTCCCGAGTCCTGGGATAGCAGATACGTGTCATCATGTCTGACAAGACTGAATAGATAATTCTTCAGCATTTGAACTATGCTGACCACTCTCTTTACGCGTTATTTTCTTGGATTCGGTAACACTATACTCCCCAGTTTTTAACTCACTGATTAAAGCCTGTTGGGCTTCCCACCTCTGCTGAACTCTCCCTTATGTCAGAATTCAGGGTGTACCTTCTCTATCTGCATGCTCTTCCTAGGCCAGTGGTAGCAAGCCTATGACACAGATGCTGCAGCAGGCTTTTTTTTTTTGTACTGGGAATTGAACTCACGACCTCATACTTGCCAGGCAGGCACTCATGCCGCTGAGCTAAATCCCCAGCCCCAGAGTTTCAGGCTTCTATAACCAACTTTCTATTGAACAGTTTTACTTGATAGTAAAAATAAGCACGGCTAGTATTTACTAGGTGTTTATTGTGGGTCAGACTGTATTCTGAGCACTCTAGTCTCGTGACACCTTCTGAGGTGTCACTACTATTTCCAGTTACAGGCAAGGAAATAGATATTCACTGAAACGCTCGGATATCCAATGGATATCATTTATCATGTGCAAAAAGTCCTGATTTCTCTCCTAAACTTTTACCATTCCCAGTCTCTGATTGGGAATAATTCTAGCAGAAGCCATTTGCTCAGACCTAAAATTTCATACAACATATCTTTGATGAATGTTTTTGTATTCACTCTAAATGTAAGCCATCAGTAAATTCTGTCTGCATTACACCTAAAATGTACCCTAACTTCCAACTGCCCCTCACCTCCACCCCAAATCGCAGACTGACTTATCCATTACAGTCTCTCGGCTGGACTGCTCACCTCCTTGCTGTGTTCTTCCCTTTCCAGAGTTTGTTCTTCACACAGAAACTATGCGCTCCCGTTTCGGATCGTATTATTTCTTTATATTAAACCTGTCACTACTGCTAGAATAATTCCAGATTCTTACTGTGGCTGACCAAGCCATGCGTGAGCTGGCTTTGGCTCTTCATCACCATTGCTTCTCATTTTCATTCAGTCTGCTGTGGAGTCACGTTGACCTCTTTCTCCTCTTCCATATATGCTGTGCTTGTTGGTGTCTCTGGACTTTGATACTTCTTGTTGGGCTAGAATACTGTTCTGTCAAGGCCTTTGTATATCTGGCTTTTTTTTTTCTTTTACATCTGACCAACTTTAGCAAATTTTTCAGCAAAAGGCCAGATGATCTTTGTTGTTACAGTGCAAAAGCAACCATAGATAACACAAATGAATGGGGGTGGCTGTATGCCAATCACGCTTCATGTATGGACTCTGAATTTGAATTTCTGATTTTTTTCAATCATTTAAAAATAATAAAAATCATTATAATCTTAGCACATGGAGCAAGCAAAAAAAACAGGTCAGATTTGGCCATTAGTTTGCCAATCCTTGGTAACTGTCACCTCAGAGAAGCTTCTTCCTGTGACTGCCCTGAGTACCACCCCACAGCTAACCCCTGTTGATTCTTACTGCTTTAGTGTCTTTTTATTTCTTGTTTCCACCAGCTGGCAGGGATTTTGTAAGTTCTTCACCTTTGTATCTCTAGAATCTAAAACAGTACCTGGCCAGACATGGTGGGGTACCCCTGTAATTGCAACACTTAGGAGGCTGAGGAAGAAGTGTTGCTCTGAGTTCAAGACCAGCCTGTACTACATAGTAAGACCCTGTCTCAACAAAACAAAACGGTACCTGGTAATGTTCAGGTAATACTTGCTGAATGACTGAATGTCAGTCCTCTTTGAATTGTTGCTATGGGGTGTTATTTGGGTTTCCTTTTTTCATTCTCTCCTACTCTGATTCATTATATACTATCACTTCCAGAATATTTAAAGCACAATTATTAAATCTTTTCTATACTTGAGAATCAAGTGGTAGTGTCCTGCTGTTTACATTATCAGCCTTGGCCATACTGCCTTAAAATTAACGAAATTTTGATGCTTTGTCTTTCATGTTGGCCCTGCTGTGGCTTCCCCTGCGCAGCCAAATCAGGTTTTACTAATCCTTGCAACTGACTTTCTGTTTTTCTTTCCCCGTTTCCTGTTAGTGGGGTCTGAACTCAGAGTGCTGAGCTACATGTCCACTCGCCTTTTAATCTGATTTTGAGATAGGGTCTCACCAAGCTGCCCAGACTGACTGACCTTGAACTTGTGATCCTTCAGCATCAGTAGCCAGGACTGCAGATGGGTACCGCCATGCCCAGTCTTCTCCACAGTGTTTCTTACCACCTATTGCCTGTTACTGTCCTTGTGATTTCATTTTCTTCAGAGCCGCATTCTTAAAAACTTACGGATTCTGACCCTCTCTGAGACTGTTTCCTGACAGACGACACCTGCACGTACAAATTGCCTATGACTTCAGAGAAATTTCTAGTCTTACTCTTGCCCATGAATGTTTCTGCAGCTAAGTTCATGCTTAATCCCTTTTTCCTTTTCTTGAAAAGAGACTTTCCCTCCATTGTGCTTCCCCTTTTTGCTTTTTAGGATTTTTTAGGTGCTGCTTCTGTGCTGTGTTCTTCAGCATATAAACATAATCAGCTGCAAAAATAGTCCTTCCAGGCTGGTCCTTCCCTACCTTGTGCCCTATTTCTCCTTCCTCATATAGCTGAGTTTTCCGAAAGAGTAGCGTATGCTTATTTTCATTTTCTCACTTTCTAATCACACCGCAACTTACTATGCTTTGGTTCCTTCTGCCTCTTTAGCACTGCATTGAAATTGAACTTGGTGGGGCTGGGGATTTAGCTCACGGCATAAGCGCCTGCCTTACAAGTGTGTAGTTGTGAGTTTGATCCCAGGTACCGATAAAAATGAAAAAGACAAAAAAAAAAAAAAAAAATTGAACTTGGTAATGTCACCAGTAGTCCCCCAGTTTTGATATCTCACCATACAATTTCAGGCCTTTTGCAACCTGACTGCCCTTTGATACATACTCTTCTCTTGGTGTGTGGTCTCCTCCCTTGGTTTTGCTTCTGTACATTGCAGAGCTCTGCTCGCCACCTTCCTTTTTCCCATTAGTCTCTTTTGGATGATTGGATTTGAAGTGCAGTTTCAACATTCATTAAATCAAATGTATTTTCTTCATTGTATTTTGAGAGCTTGTTTGTTTTTGCTTTTGATTTGTGTCTTTTTTTTTTTTTTTTTTTTTTTTTTTTTTGTCTTTTTCATTTTTATCAGTACCAGGGATCGAACTCACGACCGCCTGCTTGCAAGGCAGGTGCTTATGCCGCTGAGCTAAATCCCCAGCCCTTGATTTGTGTCTTTTTGAGACAGGTTTTCACTATGCAGCGCAGGCTAGCCTTGAACACATAGTGATCCTCCTGCCTCACCTATCAAGTGCTGAAATTACAGCATGCTCAGCCTTGAGAGCTCGTTTGGAGGTTCTAGCAGCTCTTCATACACCCTTGTCAGAGGAAATGGTCCTCTTGTATCAGGGACGGTGGTTCCCTTGACTGAGCACAGTTCATTGTGTCCTATAGATAAAACTTGGGTAGACATTCCTAAGTCAGATGCCCAGTGTGATCTCACTTCCTGCTCATATAAATCAGTCTTGCTTGCATGTCCCCAGTCTCAGTAACTATCACCTATCAGCCTAAGCCAGACACCCCAAGTCTTCATCATTTTTTCTAGTCCCTTTAACTTTTAGTGTCAAAACCTTGTCTGTTTTGTCTCCTAAAGTCTGTGGAGTCTGTCCTTTTCGCTCAGTTCTGTTGCCACTGCAGTCATTTTATAACTCTTCTTCCTGCCTCGGGGTTTAAAGGCAATTTCTTCTCCACTGCTATCACTGTAATCTTTTGAAAGATTATGCTTCTCTCCTGCCTTCAGGATGAGGTCCGTACTTGTGGAAGATAAACTTCAAACTCATGAAAGCTCATGGCTTGTCCCCTACTGTCTCCCTTTGGCTTCTTTTCTGTATGGGTGACATAGGGCCTCCGCCACATGGAACTATTTGTAATTTCACTCTGTGCCATATATTTTTGTGCTTCTGTGC